CTCACTAACCACCTGTGTGAACCCTGGTCATATCCCCTCTACCTCACCTGTGACATTTCCGCACTGGAAAACTTGGATGGGAAAAGTCGAGGCGCCCCGTCTGGGTTGCTTCCTGCGGTAGATCGTGGACAGGAAGAGTGTGGCAGGCTTATATGCCCTCTTTCCTCGGGTACTCTTGGACTCTCTCTCACTCACGCCCTCTCATCCTCACACTTAACGCACTCATGCATTCTTTTCGTCTCACTTAACGCTCTCATGCTTTCCTCCACACACTAACACTCACGCACTCTCATCACTAACACACGCACTTGTATAACTTAACTCATTCTTAGTAACGCATGCACTCGTCTCATGATAATGCGCTCTCACTTTAACCCACTCAAATTCCCTCTTGCATTCGCCCTCACAGGTACTCATTCACTCACTCAAGCACTCTCACAGGCACCAATTCACCCCCACAGGCACTCATTCGCTCTCACAGGCACTCATTCGCTCTCACAGGCACTCATTCGCTCTCACAGGCACTCATTCGCTCTCACAGGCACTCATTCACCCTCACAGGCACTCATTCACTTTCACAGGCACTCATTCACTCACAGGCACTCATTCACTCTCATCGGCACTCATTCACCCTCACAGGCACTCATTCACCTTCACAGGCACTCAAGCACTCATTCACTCTCACTGGCACTCATTCAACCTTACAGGCACTCATTCACTCTCACAGGCACTCATTCACCCTCACAGGCACTCATTCACCCTCACAGGCACTCATTCACACTCACAGGTGCCATGGTGAATTAATGTGCTTCATCAACCATGGTTTTTTAAACACATTTCATGGACCAATTTGACAAGCATGTGTGTGTGTGTCGGTCAGCAGATAAACCTAGAGCAGGAACATAATCAATCTCCTGTGGCTTAAACTCGTATGAAAGTTTAACGTTGAGCAGATGCCTAGAGCACACCCAGTATTCCTTAAACACACACACACACACACACACATTGCAGTATTACTTAGTGACACTTTACACTCCCACTCGGTGACCACTGCACTACGGGAGCGAGTTATAATAGATGTGGGCGTTGCTGCGGTGACAGACAGCTGGCTGGTAGAAACTGAGACTGAGAACCATGGAGAGGGAGGGGTTAGGTGTGGGTGTAAATTTAACATGTTCCAGGCGTATACGGGCTTGGTGTCAGTTGATTTGCCCTTGTTTATCATGACATCTGTGGGTATCCATCTCATTACCGAGTTACCTTAGATTGGGTTGTGAAGTGTCTCGTTAAGACGTTATTTTGTTCTGTTTTTGGTAGATTCTATTTTTCTGTTTCATTTTTACTAGGATTTTGCTTTAACTTTTATTGCTAGTCATATATTTTTCGAGGGGTTTGGCTTTCACATATATAATCTGTATTGGAAGTGGTGCCAGCAGACAGTGGCTTTGTGTGAATTGTTGTAATTGTGGTAGAATTAATGGTAGTAATAATAATAATAATTAACGGTTTATTGAAAAAGTTCTAAAAAGTTCTGCAGCCCGAAGGGTGAAAATATACATTGGACATAAAGGACTTATTACATACTGTAGCGTAGGCTGTGTAGGAGATCTCATCACATTAATGCAACAAATGGTGACCCCCGGAGTGACGCACTCACACAGGATGGATGAGAAACGGATCACTCTTCCAGTCTTCAATCACAACATTGAAGATTGGCTAATCCACAGGGAGGCAGCTCTCATCGGCTCAACAGCTACAGACGAACAGAAGTACGTCGCCCTGATATGTTCCTTGCCCACAGAAGTCGCCACACAAGTTTCAGAAGTCATCACTAAGCCCCAGATGACAACAAATTCACATTTCTACTCAACGCTCTCAAACAGGCAAGAACTCCTCTCAACAAGCTTCTCACCACAAGCTCCTTACCACACAGCAACTCCCTAGCACTGCAGTGTACAGGGAGTTCTGCTATAACGCGTGTTTTGATAACGCGAATTTGCTCTAACGCGATTTATGAATTCGGAACAATATTTGTATAACGCGAACGCTTGTTTGCTATAACGCGATTTTTGCTTACTATTTCTCCAATTTTGTGGTATTAACTGTGAATATGGTAAAGAAGAATATCTCCAAAAAGCGCTCTGATGATAGAATTCCCGGTGATTATCGTAAAAGAAAGGATATAACACTTGAAGAGAAGCTCAATGTTATCAACCTCAAAATCACCCTTCTCCCCCATCAAGTTACATTCATATTTTTTCAAGGTAAAGTGTTAAATTTACTGTATGATTTCATTATTAGATATGAATGTAACATTTATTTAGACTGTGCTATCCTTTGTGTTAGGCTAAATACTAAATTTTTTCGATTTCGAGTAATCTGCACCTAACCCTATTTTCTCCATAAGCCCTGTTATTTCTATTACGCGATTTTCTATAACACGATATTTTACAAGAACACAATTATCGCGTTATAGCAGAACTACCTGTACATATAATATATTTTATAGAAAACGCCATTGTGAGTTTCCCTTCTCACCTCCATCCTTAGTGCGAGATCTCATCACATTAACGCAACAATACATTGACATTGGTGGTTTAACAAAAGCCTTCATTAGACAAAGGTAAAGGACCATACAGTGAACATAAAAATCATTGTTTACAGTGGAGGTCACGTATATCATGTGAGCTGAGGTGTTGAACAGCAGACACGTGGTGTACTAACTCCCTCACAGATGGTGTTATGAGGGGCTTGACGTGGTGTAGTAATTCCCTCACAGATGGTGTTATGAGGGACCTGATATGGTGTAGTAATTCCCTCACAGATAGTTTTATGAGGGGCCTGATTTGGTGTAGTAATTCTCTCACGTGGTGTAGTACTAGTAGTTCCCTCACAGATGGTGAAATGAGGAGCCTCACATGATGCTGTAGCAACTCATTCACTACGTGATATCGTAGCATCATGGAGACACCACGTGGTCTGGTGTCACAGGACCTCACTCATTCAAGTGAGTGAGGTGTGAACTCAGGCCTCCCTATCGTGGACGGATTAACCCATAGCTGGTGTTGTTGAGTCTCACGGGCAGTTATCATTGGGTACCTAGGACCTCACTGTGTGAAGGTTAGCTTGGGTATGACTCAGCTGTTACTGTTGAGTTGTTTTTCACTGACTTAAGCACTGTTCACCACTATTCAACACTGGTTCCATTCCTTTCCTAAATGAAATAGTAACTTCTGGCGAGAACTTGTTGATATTCCGGTGGGGAGGAGGGTTCAGGAAAGGGAGTTGGTATGGGCCAACATAACAGTTGACCTGGCTGCTGCCAGAGCAGCGCCAGGTACGTCTTGACCCTCCGGTGGTCAAGGATGAAGTAGTAGACGTGTTGTGTTGGTGGTTATAATTGTACATTATCAGTAGTGTCAGTGTTCATGGTAAAAATGTTGTGCTAGTTTAAATAATTGTGGTGGTAATGCAGTAGTAGAAAGATATTTGTTGCCATAATTGTGGTATACAGTAGTGACGTTATCTACAAGTACAGTATTATTGCCAGCATACTAACAACTACGATACAGAGTATAGTTGCAATAGTTATGATTTTTTGGCCCTTTCAAGATCAAAGGTCAGCAGGGTGGTGTACGAGTGAGGCCCGCAGGGAGTCCCTATAATCACCACTTATAAGCCAACCAGCCATAGCCTCGTCAGGCGGAGCAACACACCCCGCTGGCTGACCTTATTTACCTCCCTCCATAACTCACTAGCAGCCGACGTTACATTGTGTCCTTATGTCTTAGGTTGACAATTTAGTGTTTAAGAATAATTACTATGAGGTCACTTCACTTGATCTTTGGGAATGCCACTTGACATTACAGTACAGTATATTCCTGTTAGGGTGTTTACCGTAACTTACTTTCCACTTAATTAGGAAGTTAAATAATTGTTGTACAACTGTTACTGCACAAAGAAAATGCTTCTTAATCTCATGATAAAAAGAACGTTCTCAAGACATAGATGTAAAATGTTTTTCATGTGTAATTATATAGAAACCAAACAGAAAGCCGTGATGTTATGCGGTGTGATTCAGAAGAGAAGTTACAAATGTTGTACTGAGCAGTATTCTGGATCCGGATTATAAGTCTCATATTATTTGTTTTACCAAAATAGAAATATGGAAACATTGTAACAACCATGTTTTTTACGATATTGGTATGAATGCAAATTAGCAGGTGGCATGAAAAGACAGGTGACTCCAAATCTTGTATGCCAAGATAACTCTTGTGTTCCTCAGTAAATTATAGATATATTTGTTTTTGTCTTCATCATTATTATTACTGAAGCAGCCGTCGCTTGACTGTCTAAGACTCTAAGTCTTATTCATTTTCATTATCAGAGCCATCAACCCTACCATCATCATCTTGTGTTGGCTCTATCATCCATTTATTCTCAGCACTTGTTTCATACACGAGTTGATTATAACATGTAAGAAAGGACACGGATTCATTATCAGAACTGATTACTGTTGTCTTTATTAGGCACAGTTTTAAAGAACTAGTGATATGTCTTTGTCTTTTTCTGTGTGGCAATGACATGCTGTAATGTGCTACTGCACTGATATGTTCTGCACTATAATTCTGAAAGTAAAATGATAACGATTAACACAGGTATCACTAATTGTAACTGAGTCACTAGTTCTCTCATGAGACTGTTGTACAGTATAACACATTTATTTTCTTATTTGTGTTTTTCTTGAATATGCAACAAGATCTCCATGAACATTGCAATACTGTACCTATGAGTCTAGATTAGACTGTATACTCACCAGGTTTAGTATTTTCATGTTAATAAACTTCATTTAATTGACTACATAAAGTGTATCTTTTTATTTTATTAGGCAACATTATTTATGATATCTATTGTCGAGGATAAGTGATATTAATACTTTGTGTTATAATACAACTGATCAGTGTCAGCATGGATAACTGCATCTCCTCACTTACCCACAGGGATGGTCGGTTGCGTGTCGGGGATGAGATTATAAATGTTAACGGAAGGCGGCTACGAGGTGTGACTCTGGAGGAAGCACGTCATATCCTTCGCCACACACCATCTGAGGTTGATGTTGTAGTGGCACGGGAGCCAGACACCCCCGCACACGAGTCCCTCTATTCAGACTTTGACGTGGCATCGATGACGAGTGGACGGGTTGACTCACGAGTGGAGACTCGAGTAGACTCCCGTGTAGATAGCACATATGAAGAGGAAGAGGCATCCTTAGATGTCCGCCACCATGCCTATCATAAGAATTGTCATGAATATGACCACAGGCATGAAGATGATGATTTAGAAGATGATACACTGAACCTACGAGATTTAGGACACCATCTAGAGCCCAGTGACATGCTAGGTGAAGGGCAGTGTTGTCCCCGTGATCTTCCTGACCTGCCTCCTGATCATCGGATTGGTTCTCGGGATCTGCCTGACTTGCCTAATGACCTACACTGCTGCTCTCATGATCTCCCTGGTGACAGTGACCTCCATGTGTGTTCAAGAGAGTCCAGAGGATGTAGGGACATGCGGGATCCTAGGAAACGGCGACGTCTGGACTCTCTCCGAGAGGAAGGTGTAGTCAAAGCTGTCATGGTCCGCACAGTGTCCGACTCTTCATCAGGTAATTATTTAAAAAATTTCATTGTACAGTGAGAGAAAGGTGTTTCTATACCCCCTGTGATATCCCCAGCCAAGATGTGGCAGGGTCGCAACAATAGAGATGAGTGGAGATTCGACTAATGTCTCATGGATCTCACTTTGAGTCATCCCTGTAATTCAAATATGGATATGGAGTCATGCATGATACGTATCTTGACTGAGGATATCACAGGGGATGATAAAAACACCTTTCCTTGACTGTACCACAGAGAGAAGATTATGGTTATACAGTAAACACTTCTTTTTAATATAGCATAGAAAATATATTTGAAATATTAGTAAGTGGAAAAAACTGTAGGTATATTAATAATCATATAGTTTATTATATCTTCCCTTTTATTCATGTTTAAATTCCTCATTTCAGACCCATACACCCCTTAGTACCCTTTACTTTCACTCAACACATAAATATCATTAATGTCAATGCCACATTCAAACTCAGTGCACTTAAAACACACAGACCCTACAACAAGAACCACTAACAGCATTATTCTCTACTAACACGTCATCTGCACCACAGTAATCTATGCTTACTTAAGTTGGACCCCTCAAACCCTGAGACTGAAAACAAAGCCCTTGGCAAAATAACAAGTTGCTTTACCATAATAAATATTAGCCACCTACATTCTGAATAAAGAATTCATCAACTACGAGACCACCTACACTTCAGTGGCACACATGACCACAACACCACATAGCACAGCACTACTTAGGCAAGTTCAGCAATAGCCCACTAAAATCTGCCAACACAACTGTCTGTAAACATACACAACTTAGCAACTTCCCCCATCCATTGTCTATTCAACCAAATGGCATACTGAACACAACTCTACCAGATATTCACTCCTCAGAAACCACATTCCCCAGAAAAATTAAAGTACTCTTACAGTAATACAGTATACTGTATATCTTGCCAGGCTATTTTGTGGTCATCGCCCATCCCCAAACCAATGTCAACAGATTAATGATCCAACTCGCCCAAGATCCATTCTCTTTGTAATACAAGCTGCCCCACATACTAATTCATCAACTTACTACAGTATATGCTTGACATTTACCAGACTTAGACAGTCCTTCAAGGTTACTTTGAATCCATTTGAAGCAGGAGCTACAGCAATAACAGACCCTCACCTTAACCTACCCTTGTGTTGATATCTACCCTTTCCTTTCCCAATATCATCATTCCTAAAACCAATACTAAATTGTGCCTTTAACCTTTTTTTTTTTTATCTAGGATCGCCTCTTCCATCAGGTGAGGATGAACCCAGACGGCTGTTGCCATTGATTGAGGATGGAGTATTTGATGAACGGCCATCTTCACAGGCCTCGCAGGTGTCAGCTAGGACAATAACTTCCATGGCTTCTGTTGCATCCAGCCACGGAACTGGACTTAATACCACATCACGGCAGGTAAGTTTATGGGAGGACAATGTTGGCAACCAAATGAAAAGTCATAGTTTTCTCACATCTCTTTTCAGCAGTGTCCTCACTGCTGTTACAAACAGGTGTGTGTGTGTGTGTGCAATTTTTATACAAACAAGAGGCAGATATGATTCTTCAGTTTTTCTTAAGTTCACAGTCAATGCTGTCATAATATTTTTACAGCATATCGAGAGTCTGTATGAATGATAAGGAAAAAATGATGCCCAGTAGGTCATTTATAATCATAACCAAGAGCTATTTGATGTGCATTGCTATTTTACTGTCCTCTAAACTTGTGTAAAGTTTGATGAGGAGGTCTCTGGTTTCTGTGAAATAAATGACAAGTAAAAGCAGTATGGTCACCAGATGGCTGATTTTGATCAAATCCAAAACTAATGATGTTTATTATCATCATGTTTTCCTCTAATTTTTATTGACTTTAATGAAAATTTCAAAAGCTGTTTTCATGTTGTGAGAAATGAAAGAGTTGAGGACAGGCTGTCAAGGACAGACAGAGAAAGAACAACCCTATTGCTCACTTTGGGGAAACTGGTAGGAAATAATAATACAAAATGCTGTACACTTATTTAATGAAGAATTATTGTCGTAAACCAAGACAGTAAATAGTGTAACTTTCCTTCCTCTATTAACAGAGAACACATCGCTCTTCTTCTACATCAACACTGCCTCGTAGACCCAAGTCACTCAACCTCTCCTTCCATACAGTGGTCTTTGAGAAGGGCCATGGCAAGAAGGGGCTTGGATTCTCTATTGTTGGAGGAAGGGACTCTCCGAAGGGCAATATTGGCATCTTTGTTAAAACTATTTTTCCAAGTGGCCAAGCTGTTGAGGAGGGAACACTAAAGGAGGGTATGTATTTACATTTTACTGTACTGTACTTACTTATTGTTCATCCTACTTGCTTAGGTCGATAAGAATTGATAGTAATCTTGTAAAATATGCAAGGGAGGGCCTGATTCTCCTATTGAAGAAAAACCAAGAGTTAGGTTTGTGAAACTCTCATGCCCCCACTTATGTAAAAATATATCAGAAAGCTTGACAGTTTTTTCAAGTAATTCAAGGATGTTCATAAAAACCCTTCAAAATGTCATAGCTCACTTCTAGTGTCTTCACAAACTTGGTTGGGACAGAAGTACATTTACATGGAAAGACAAGACAAACAGGTACAAATCAGTGTACTTACTGTATACTGTGTGTAGTGGAGGCATAAATATCAATTGATATTTTGTATCGCTGTAATTTTATTTCTCAGGAGATGAGATTTTCGCTGTAAATGGCGAGAGCCTAGCTGGAGCAAGTCATGCCGAGGCAATAGCTATGTTTAAGGCCATCCGCAGTGGAAAAGTGGTGCTTCACGTGGGTCGTCGGACTCCTTCAAAGAAAAGGTAATACCTTAACAGTGCCTTGTTACTTCTGGTTACTCTTCTTAAGTTGGTAAAGGCATTTTCCTTGCCCTTACAACCTTGTAAGATGTATAAGTGGCTGTTATTTAATCATCATTAATTGTATGCATAAGTTCAGTAGAAGGGTGTAGCTAGAGTAGACAGTAGTTTCATTGTTGCAAGAGACCTGCCTAACCTAATACCTATCGACGTGCCATATAAATCCTATTTATTGGAAAGTTATTGTCAGTCATCCTGTACAGTACAGTATTTGATTTTTTTTCTTTATGCCTAAATATTTCATAGCTTAGAAATGTTTTGATAAAAATGCTGCATCTTGAATAAGGTTGTAGAGCAGGGGTCCACAACCTTAATGTAGTAACTGACCACTTTATAAGCAAGATTTCAGAAATTGGTCAAACCCATTGTACAGGTAACTCGCGTTTGATTTAAGAGTTTTTGGAATAAAGCGATTGTTCAATTAATACCAAAATATAATTTACGCACACCTATTTTTGAAATAACGCACTCAAGACAGTTTAAGTTTGCCGCGCGTATGCGCCTGGCAGTGGAGTCACGTGTGATGCCTGGTGAGGTGCTTGTAAGTTATTACTATAAAGTCGGCCATATCAACATCAACGATTTTAATATTATTATTAATAATAATAATTATTATAATGTAATAATAAAGATTATTACTACTAATGATGAAAATAATGAAGTACAGGAGTGTATTCTGTACAACAACTGTGACGACGTCCAGCAAGCTTCCCGTGTATCGCTTTCTCAGTTCACACCAGCTCTACTTTTTCTCTGTGCTCTCATTTGCATTGTGTGTTTATCACATACCTTTTTAGTGTTGAAAGCTGTTTTCCCTATTGAGCATGCCTGGAAAACGTCCATCTGCCTCCTCTGGGGTGCTTAAAGCTAAAAAGGACTTGCAGTGTTTACAACTAGACAGATATCAACAGATGTCTACCAATGTCAGTGGCCCTCAAAGTGCTGCCAGCGTGTTTATGGCCACCGCGGACAAACACTTCCGTTCGTCCACAACAACAGATATCAACAGATGTCCACCATTCGCTACTATAAGCAAGACGCTCCCCTGGCTTGACACAACCAGTCTCCCTGCTTACCCTTTCCCACTGACTTAGTAGAAAAATTTGAAGTAGCAAAACGTCTAGACAAACTGAAGTTAACTCGCTCCACCACCTCCATTGACTTACTAATGAAACACTACAAGGAGTTCTCCCTGGAACTAGCTAAACTACTCTGCTTCATCATCAATGCTTCCCTCAGCCAAGCAAGATGCCCAGCTGACTGGAAGACCTCATATGTGTCACCCATGCCCAACTCAACCAGCCCAGAATCCTTAAATGAGGTACGACCCATTGCCATCACCACAATACCCAGCTTAATCTGTGAAAGTTTCGTGTTTGACTGGGTTTATGCTGATATTGCAGGCGCCATGTATCTTCAGCAATTGGGCAATATGAAAACTTCCTCCACCACTGTCTTGTCAGCTTTCTCGACTATATATACCGCCATCTGGAAAAGCAAAAAACGTCTGTGGCTGTCGCCTTCTTTGACTTCACCAAAGCATTTAACCTAGTCGACCACAATTTAATAAAAAAAAAGCTATCGACCTTGGGTTTCGAAGAAGTCTTATACCATGGCTTACAGACTTCCTCAGTGACAGATACCAAGCCGTACGCTTCCGAGGGGCTGTCTCCACTTTTCGGTCATTCACCTGTGGTGTCCACCAAGATGGGACCTCTCTGCTTCCTTATGCTTATCAATGATGCCCTAAGAGAAACCTCTGCTCGCTGAAAATATGTCGACAACTCCACCATTGAGATCAGTGTCAACAACTCGGCTTCCGACTATACAGCCCTCCAGGATTTATTGAACAGTCTCCAAATTGGGCTACCAACAACCACGTCACCATCAACCATACCAAGACCATGGTTATGTACATCAACCTCTCCTCTGACGTTGTCCCACCTCCTACCTTTACTTTGAGCCCCAACACGCTCAAGGATGTGGACTCCACTAAGCTCCTCGGTATCACTATAGATAACAAACTAAATTGGAAAGCACATGTCAGTAAAGTTGTCAAATCCTCCAGTTTTCGTCTCCACCTCCTCCGCCGACTCAAGTCCCTCGGAGTTCCTATGCCCTAGCTCCTCAATGTTTACCCGTACTCAACATTCATACTTCCAAGCTCACCTATGCCTTCCCTGCCTGGTCTTCCTCCTTAAATGCCACACAATGCAAACACCTAGAAAAAGTGCAAATGAGGGCTCTCTCTGACCATTACCACAACCTCCTCTGCAAATTTGGTGAGAAGCTTCTGCACCATCCTCGACACGGACTCCTACTTCCACCCAAGATAACTCGTCTGCAAATTGCTGTTCGACACCACAACCATATCCAGCCCATACGAGCACTAACTGATCGTTATAAGAACAAGCCCAGTCCCAACCATTGTAAAATTTATCAACAACTTGTAATCAACCAGTGTATTCACTCAGTCAATTTTACCTTTTTTGCACTGTCACTATGTTGAAATGCCCTGTAGTTTGAGCTTCTCCCCACCTAGATATTATATATCATATTTGTATCACTTGTTTCTTGTATATTATTTGTCAATCAAGAGACCCATTCCCCAATTATGCATCTGTGTATTTTCAGACTTCCGGCTGCCATGCTCTTTCAATAAATCGTTAATTATTATAAATTTGCCAGTAAAATAACACCAAGACTATATAGCCTTGTTGTCATTTTACTGATAAACTTGTGTGTTTTAGGCACCCAAGACTATAGTCTTGGTGACATTTTAGGCATCCAAGACTATAGCCTTGGTGTGATTTTACAGGCAAATTTGTGTGTTTTAGGCACTCTACTATAGTCTGTCTTGGTGTGACTTTACTGGCAAATTTGTGTTTTAGGCACCCAAGATTATAGTCATGGTATAATTTTTAGGCACCCAAGACTATATAGTCTTGGTGTCATTTTACTGGTAAATTTGTGTGGTTACAACACACAAATATGCCAGTAAAATGACTCGGACTATAGTCTTGGGTTTGTAAAACACACAAATTTCCCTGTAAAATTACACTAAAATTATAGTCTTGGGTACCTAAAACACACAAATTTGCCAGTAAAATGTCATAAGGACTATAGTCTTCTTGCCTAACACACAAATTTACCAGTAAAATGACACCCAAGATTATAGTCTTCGTGTTAATTTAGGCACCTGAATTGTCCCAAAAAATTAAAATTTACCAATATTTTGGTTGTTCTAATTTGCACTAACTGAAATTTCTCTTTCAGAGCACACAAAACTAAATCATTTGATGATTTAGATAAGTTTGAAGAGTAAAAATGCCAGCAGTGAATCCATAAGCTGTACAAAGTGAAGAAAAGAAAACATCATCAACCCAACATGAAGGATGTCATTAATACATGTATTTATATTTCATGGAAAAACTTTGGCATAAATGATGTTGCACATACCTTTACTTTTAGTGGGTTTACCCAGACATGCAATAAACCAAAGACATTAAACAGGTAAACTTAATCTTGTTGGATATTACTGCAGAAAGAAAGAAATGTGTATAATTATGTTAACAGCCATGGTTTGTAGATATTATTGTCTCCGCTAAAGAATGTGTTCAGAGATATATTTACTTTTTATGTTGAAGGTTGTTCTGTTGTAGATTGGATTTTCAAATTGACATACTCGATATGTATAAGCATTGAGTCACAAACAATTAAAACTGCATATTTTATTTAGTAGTATCTTAGCTTGTCTTCATAATTTGTACCATGTAGGATAATTATGCATCCTGTTTTACAGGCTACAGTCATCAAGACATTACGACAACCAGCCAACTAATATTTACATCTACTATTAATGTACATTCTAGGATCGGCACTACTTGTCATCTATGTTGTATATACTGTACTATGTATCTATCATTTACAAAACATGTAGAAATGTGATATATAAAAATTTTAATCCCTGCAACTGCACATTGTATGGGCAATAAACAGCTTTAACAAAATGAGTTTCACTACCTAAACAGTAAACAAGATTGAGCAAAACTATACACTGTTATTTATGCACACTGAACCCTCAATAATTCATGCTAATTCAGTAGGTTTTGGTGCTGATGAAATTCTGAGGTAAATTTTGGCGTGTAGGCAATTGCCGTATTCATAATTATGAATGCTAAAATTAGGTTCACCAACTTGAGCAGTGTCAATAAGTACTTAAATTTAACTTTTTAACAATACAAAAACTTTATAAATCATGGCTGAAACAACAACCCATTTCCCTTGGTGAATATTTTGGCCGAAAACACCTCTTCTTTTGAATTGGAAAACTACGTGTTTAACTAATTTGATATGGGACAGCACATCCAGAGTAACAGGTAAGCACCATAAAGAAATTTTAGATGGCAAATAATTTGGGTTAGAAAATTAAAGAAATTATTCCAAGAACAATTAGGGAAAGAAATTACCAAATTTTTAACGTTTTTAACCCCAGGTTCTTAATCAGCATGACAAAAAGTACGTACAATATACACTATAGTATAGAGATTCTGAAAAAAAAAAAAAATCTGGAGACTGACATTGGCACAGAGGTCGTACAGTATTTACTTTATCTAACAGAGGGGCAGCGGTGATGGACCAGGGTGTAGCAGAACTATTTGTTGGTTAGACTTTCTGTAGTGTAAATAGTTTTATTCCCTCAATTTACGTTCACCAAGTAGAAATTGCGTCAAAATGTTCTGGTGTATGAAGACGTGGAAGTCCCTCTGTAGTATACTCCAGAACATTTTGTCGCAGTCCCCACTTGGCTGACTTTACATGTTCTTCACTTCACTCTTCAGCAAAAAGATATAAGTGAGATGAATTTTGGCATCATACCAAAACGGGTGTGAAATTCAGTACGCTATTGTACTTCAGCAAGGCCAAAGCTCCTAACAAACCAAAATATTGAGGGTTTAGTGTATAAAAAATTCACCAGTCAAATAAAAATACATATACTGTAATAAGCACATCAAAGATCATCTGTATCATAAATGGTAAATTTTACATTCAAAATATGATATGCTCCTTAAGCATCTTTCAAAAAAATACATTGCTATTACCTCAAGTGTGTCGAGCCCTAGACAGCAATGTTTGAACACTGGCCAGTGCTGTTTAACCAATTTTGACATCTACAGCATGTACGTTAAATGAAATACAAATTTTTACCTGTAGTAAAATTTCTTGATTTTTTCAATTGCTTATATCGCCCACTCCTTTTCTAATGCAAAAAAGATTTAGTAGCATTTCAACCTGTGAATGTATGCCTTCATTACTGAACTATATATCACCGGTGAATAAAGTCATTCTGCACACAACAGCGTAAAAATTGGCCAAAAGGAACACACAGGATACTAACATGGGAGTGCACAGCTTGAGCTAAATACAACCCTCAATGTTCACAGCAACACTTAATGTACTGCAGGTCTAAATTCTGCACATAAAGACAAGCTACAGCCCAGGAGTCAGATCATGATAAAAAAAAAAAAAAAAAATCATAGGTTCTGGAAAAGAAAACTAAGCATAGGCAGTCCCCGGCATACGACAGGGATATACGTTTCTGAATCCTAATCGTAAGTTGATTTGTTCATAAGTCAGAATAGTGTTAATTCCATAGTTTAGATTAAAGCAAAACCCTGCCCATATAAAACAATAATATCCCATACATAACAAATAATGTAAATACTGTTAATAAAGTGATGCTAAACAATATAGAATAATAAAATACTTTTTGCAATGAATGTATTGGGATCCCATTCCTATGTGTGGATGATCACAAGTCGGACGATCGTAACTCGGGGACTGCCTGTACAGTGTATGAATAAAGCTAAATCTTTGCATGTCCTTTGGGCTTAACCAGTACGTCCTTGGTCCTACTTGAAGCTTGACTACCTACTCAATGCCAAACTAATATCATATCACATGATACCACTGTATAATTTAAAAAAATAATGTTAATGGAACTAAAGCTTGTTTGTTTTTCTTTTTTTACAGAAAAAAATATTCGTCTTTAAGGTAATCTTCCTTTGTTAATGTAAAATTAATTAAGAAAATACACTACAGTATTACGAATAATTTAAGTACAGATACGACAAAATGCTGTTAATTCTAAAATATGAGATTATTTACTGTACTTTAAAACACTATCACTGATCAGTATCCTATGACAAGTTAATGTTGATAAAATGGCTTATATATGTTACTTTTTATGGTATATACAAACAACACTTTACAAAATTATTATCCTTTGTCACTGATATTAAATATTTAAGCACAGATTTGAATATTAATGTATATCTGAACTTGACTTCAATATTAATACAATATCACTTTTTCTCACTGAGGATACAGTACTATATCTTTTATGTACTGTATAGTTCATATTATCACATCTAGAACTCATTACTGTACAGTACTACAAACATTATGTTTAACTTAATCATAAAAAAATACCAAGTAAACCTCATAAAACTGGGATCTACAAAGCCTATAAAACTTTATAATTCCTTTTGATTAATTCCCTCTTATGTGCCTACACAGTAAAAAATGCCTTTTTAGACATAGTGGAAAGCACTATGGCATTCAAGCAGCAAGGCAAATTATAAAGAGAAATTAAATTTCAATTTTTTTTCTTCTATTATTTCATTAGTTAAGACTTGCTCTATTTTTCCTTACACTACCTTTTGACTGAGTCACTTCTCTTTCCTGTTGTTGAGGATGTGGAGGTACTTGCCACGGGTCATTTCCTTGGCTTCTTCCAGGCCCAGCTGGTATGCTACATTCTGAAGTTTCTTGACCTCTTCAATTATTTCCAAAGCTGTAAGCAGCCGGAATTCTGTTGGAAAAAAGGACACTTTAAGATGCAGAATAAAAATAAAAATATGAAAACTTCAATAGAGATTTCAAATATCAAATTCTCCCTTGCAAGATAAAATTTTGTTGTCAAAGACATATGGTATACTGTACTTAAAATGTAATTTAAATATTTGCATGCAATTAATGCACTGGTCTTAGTTTGCCATGATGACATTAAAATGGGAGACATTAAGGTCTGTCCATATCCTTCAGATGATCTTTTCTTCAGCCAAGCCTAATTCTGTTACATTTCTCCATATCTTAATGGAATCCTTGCTATCTTTTCATTTTCCCAGTTGCTACTTTCTGCTCTACTTGTGCACCTCTGATGCCTTAAGAATTTTTCCTCCTAGAAGGGATTAACTCTACACATTTAAAAGATGAAGATTATAGAAACAGTTGAAGCAACTGCCCCAAAATTTCACAGCTGGTTTTGCTTTTACATACAGTATACAATCACTTCTTGGTTGCAGTGAGAATTAAGAACTTCCAGAATGGATAAGGATTTCCTCAGAAAATTTACATAGATGGAAAGCAGAAGAAAAAGGAAAACTGAAAAGGAATGGATAAAAAAAAACACTTAAATACAGTATACTAAACAAGTGTATATCAGGGAAAAGAAAGTCATATAACAAATCAACAAAACTTACTGCAGCATAAACTTACCCATAATAAATAAATAAAAATATATCACAAAAACTCTATCAACTGCACCACCCCTATAGCTACAGTCCTAAAACCATACTCACGGTAAAGGAGGTTGTAATCTGGTTCCTCAAGGTCCAAATTCTGTGGGTCTGGGCTAAGTTGTGGGGACATCACAGGGGCAAACTCGTACACTCCTGGAACTAATACAGAACTGTTACTTATTACAAACTTCACACAACTGATGCCTGATCACTAAAAGCACAGTACAATACCTGTACTAATTGGTAATGTGTGTACTGTATTTTTGTTACAAATTTTACACGAGTGAAAAAGTAAAAGTTGGTAAGGACTGCATTACAGGCCTGGCAGCCCATTAAAGTATAGACACACCCCTATTATTAAAAGAAGAACCAGTATCTCCCCTTTGAATCTTCAGCATGTTGAACGATATTCCACCTCCCCATCCATGGGGTATGAAACAAATTGACTTGCACCATAGCCAATAATATACTATGGAAGTTCAGGATAAAAACTAATGTACAATATGTTAAAAAACAGTAACCCCCCTACTCCCTTAAACAATAAAACTAAAACCCAAGATATAAAATTGTTCACAATACTGTATTCTGAGGACATGGTTCTTATATGCGATCAAGTAATTTATCAAACATCAAGGAAGAACCTTATCACCTGCATCACCCAGCTCTGTTAAGATCACTCTTTCACAACAATAACTTTCTGTGCTGTCCAGCCTACAACATCTGGCCCAGTTTGACCAGCACTTATAACCATTTCTTGATCACCCTTTATAAATGACACCAAGTTACTTACTCTGTTCTGGCCACAAATCCGGACTGGAGCGGTCAAGTTTTTCAAGGCTCAGCAAAGACGGCTCCATATCTGCAAATGACATAAAATGATTCAGTAGTGCTCTCGGACCTCAACTTCTATGATCTTTCCAGAATGTAGATAAACATAAATATATACTGTAGAGATGTGCCATTATACTGTCATACATAAATATTGTACTCATGCAGGGTGGTGAACTAATGTACTGTACTTAAGAATGTATGATAAGAAGTTGGTCAAGTAAAATTCACACTTGATTCAACCACCTGCAGAAAACCTGAGTTAGCTAAAAAAAATATTATTCTTTCAACATTTTTCATAAAAATACATGAATTTTCACTAGCTATCCACATTCAAAGGAATGAAACCTACTGGGAATAATTATGACATCGGACGACACCGTGAACAGATTAAAGAATTTAACAAAGGGTTATTTTCTATTTCTCATTACATACAGAAAAAACCTTTGGCTATGAACATAAATAATAGTTACTAAATATTGAAAAAAACAGGTTGCAGTATCACTGACAACTGTGAAGCTTATCCACAGTTCACTGACCTCATTGTACCTGTATAGCTACTATATCATCATAACCTGAAGTACAGTACTGTACTGTACTGTACAGTAAATGTACTGCATTAATTTCTTTAGGTATCAGACTCACGGGAATACAAGGTACTTTAGGGAAATATTCTATAAGTATCATAAAACTTGTACTTGACTTCATGAATAGAAAGAAGTGGGTGATGGTATTGCAAATTTCCTACTTTTGGCTTTCCAATGTTTTAATTTTCAACACTACTCTCTGATGTCTGGATGCTATCTGAGAAGCCACTGTTAATTGTTTATATATGCACTAAAAGACATAGAATGTGTCATAGATATTAACACTTCCATTTAACAAAAAAGAAACCTGCAACAGCTTAAATTATACTAAAATATAGCTAGGATTTATGGCAAATTTCTATTATTATTAGGTTGATGATTTTGCCTCAGTAATGTTTTCATACCTAAACAGCTTATTCTCTTACAGTGTGTGATGGGAACTAGGTAGTCAGCTCATTCAAGGAGGGAGTTACTCATTATGATTATTCTTTTTCATCTTACAAGTGTTATGTTATGTTTGTATTATATTTGTTTGTGATATGTATTGTTGTAGGTTATATAGTACAGTATATTGTTGTATTGTAAATTATGTATTATTTGTGTCAATGTTTACATCCTTGTAAACAACCTGGCAACTCTGTGAGGTTAGTTGGTAGGTCTACCAGCAACTGTGACTCACTCATTCACTCCCCTGGCTTCCTGGCATGCTGACCAGCTGTGCCCTGTGCTACTGAGTGGTCACCTCACAGCTAAGTTTACTTTGTATATATGGATTAGGATTATAATTATAATGTATAGTGTGATAGGTAACACTTATTCCATGTGCTAATTGTAAGATGAGAGGTTCTGGTCTTTTTGTTGTTTCTCAGTTGTAGTTGATGTACTTTCATTTTCACATTTGTGTATATAGTGTAAATATGTTTTAATACTTAATACGTATATCATGGCAGTTTCTAGTGTACAAGTATTACAAATATTCCCGTTCCCCGTTTATCTTCCCTGTGTTTTCATGTTGTGAAACATTACAATAACCCCTGGACATGAATGTCCCATAACAAGTGACAAATAATTTATTGTACATTGATAACACAAAACAAACCTACCTGAACCTGACCTAACTTCCTAGGATTGGAAAGTTTTATTTTATCTATTTCAGTAGGCTGGTTAGGGTCAGTTTTCTATATACTGTATATATATGGCAATGGATATTTTGCCGTGACCGGTAAGTTCCTACTGATGCTATTTTACCGTGAGTGCGCAATACAAAATAGAAGATACCGTAACTGTAATATATCAGGATAGGTTAGGACTTGAGAGTAGGTTAAGTTTGGTTAGGTAGGTTTGATTGGATCACTTTTTGAATAGGATATAATATAATGTACAGTAACAATACAATACATTATCTGATAGTGTAGGAACATCCCAGATGCACCACATGTAAATTAAGTAGAATGAATGTTAAACTTTAATACAAATGAAAATGATTGCTAGCCATCGTGATTCTAATATTCGATAAAATGATCGTTTAGATCATTTGGGAGATCAGAATCAGCCAAAACACATCATAAACCATCAGAAAATCACAGTTCCAACCTAACCTACCAGACCTAACCTAAACCTCTCTGACAGTGGTAACTTAAAATCCTAAAATTAGCTGGATGACCGAAACTGTTATATCTAAAATTTTACTATTGGTTCTTATTGATCTTGTATATTAACTGATATACACAACCACTTAATAGTTCACGAAAACGTAAGATGTTAGTTTAGGTTTAAGTCGGTTGGGGTACCTCACATATAGAGTACACAATGCACTAGGCCCCGTTGTGGGTGGATGACCTGTGCCCCGTTAGAGAGCTGCTGTACGTGTAGCACTTCCATTAGTAGAAATATAATGACCGTCCAGCTGTAGACGGCCATGAGACAGTGTTACGTCTCTAAACAAGGACATGTTCGTGTACACTCAACACTAATACCTTACAATTTCCAAATGAAATTCTATCTTATTACTTTAACTTGAATTATATAAATATATAACTTAGGAATCACCTTGAGCTTGAAAATTCCCTCCCTCCGCCGACGCCATGTTGTTTGTTTACGTCTATGTCATGCCCTAGCTGTCACCGTGTGTCATGTCATGTGTGGACTGTTTAGTAGAATAGAAGTCAAATTACCATATAAGTATAAGAGCTGAAGCTAATAAAATCACTAATTGAGATATAATCAGCAAAAATTCAATCTTCACACAACTAGAATTGTACACTATATTAGTCCAAACGTTTTCTTTGATGGTTACAGGAATAACTATTCCAGATACATTTATTAGATGTAGTGTTTGTCTGTGGCAAGTGACTTACACGTCTTTCATGATCATGATTTAACTAAATACTAATATATGTAATATGATTTTTAGGACTTATCATAGGTGAATCTCTTACAATCCCAAGACTGATGTACAGTACATTGTCTTGTACTGTAACACGAAAAATAACCCTCTTAACCCCATACCAAGATGCTGAATGTGAAGTATCTGAAACCAGTACATGTACACGTGTCCTACACAGCGAGATCACTAACGTCGGGACTTGAAAATACTTAATGTAAAATATATTTTATACGACCATGGCCGTCGTATGTCCAGGTTGTCGCAAGTCGAATATGTCGTAAGTCGCGGAGAAACTGTGTGTGTATATATATACTAAAATTTAACTGGAAGGGTATAGGATTCAGGGAAGTGTCCTAGTGTGGATCAGAGACTTTCTCTAGGATTGCAGTGTGTGGTGATTAATGGCACGAAATGGTCATGTGTACCCGTGACAAGCAGGATACCACAGGGCAGTGTACTGGGCCCATTGTTGTTTGTTTGCTTCATAAAGGGTATGCCAGAAGCTATACATTCCTCTATACAAATGTTTGTGGATGTCAAGTTATTTAGGAAAATTAAGAACCAACCGGACTGTAAAGAGCTGCAGAAAGATCTCAAAGCTTCAAGCATGATCGAAGAAATGGCTGCTAAGATTCAATGTCACGAAGTGTAAGAGGATGCACCTGGGACCTACCAATGGTAAGGAGGCGTATCATATGGCCCAAAGGGACGAAGAATCTGCATTAATTGAGACTGAATGTGAAAAGGACTGAAGTTCTCGGGCCATTGAGAGAAGGTGAACCAAGCAACTAAATTATTAGGTTTTAAAAGGTCGGTCGTTCAGATATCTAAACGGTTAGGCCCCTTGTAACAATCTTCATGAGCGAGGTACTCCCCCCCCCCTGGGGATCTGTCACCCCATTTGGTCCTCGAGATATACTAGGGACTGTCAGTTGATTGAAAATGTCCAAAGGACCACCACCAAACTGGTGCCGGCACTTTGGCACCTCCGCTACACAGATTAGAGTACGTACCTGCAATTGCCGAGCTTGTACTACAGATGGTCAGGGGGGGGGACCTAATTGAAGTGTATAAACATCACAAAGAGCACTACTCAGTCGAGTAATCTTACCTGGAGCTGACAGATATTTGCCCCACAAAGGATCACAGCTCAAAGTTGAAACTGCAAGTCCAGAAAACTGAGAGGGCTAATTTTTTTGGAGTGAAAGTTGTGAACTCTTGGAACAACCTGCCAGAGTGTTGTGATGGCACCGAGTGTGAGCTGTTTCAAGAACAGACTTGACAAGCACTGGAGAAGGTTGATACATTCAGGAGCCAGTGCATGCCCAGTACTTGCCAACAGTGCGTAACAGAGACGTGACAGACACCCAAGCAGCTAATGAGCCGATTGGTGGTGAAGAGGATAAAAGTGAAAGTATAGAAAGAGAACCATGTACATTCATGAAAAGGGTCAAGATACTGACTGACTAGATGTGTATACAGTATGTGACCAATTTTTGCTTCGTTTCAATTTTTTTACATTATTAATATTGAAACAGTTTATTTAGCCAGAAAAATACAGACAGAGTGCATAATATTAACAATATTGACATGGCTGAGCCAATTCTGAGCCTAAGACAACAAGAGGATTTTCTCATTACAGAGGTCCCCGACTTACGAACGCCCACCGATACAAACGGGGTTAAACTTGAGATTTTCAGTATTTGATTTACTTGTCAACTTATTTGTTACTTTCATTTACTGTATTTTGTCATTCTATTTCTTCTTTGGTCTTAATTAAGTGATTTTAGATGTATAAGGACTTAGGCTATGATAGTGTTATTTTAAACATTGTTTTGTACGTACGGTAAGCACATAGCATGTGTTCTGACTTGCGTACATACAAATCCGACTTAAGAATGGCCTCAGGAACGGAACCCGTTTGTAACCCGGGGACCTCCAGTACTATTAATAAGAGTACTATAATGTAGCAATTGGAAATTAATTTCCAATTGTCTTGATCTAGGAACAAGCTATTCAGACCTCCATTAAACTTGGAATTACATGGATCTAAGTTTACTGCAGTGAATCAAAGTAAATTTAGAGAAATTTTAATAACCAATCCACGACTATTGGATGATTGGCAAACAGGAAAGTAGGGTTTGGTACACCGCTTTGAAGAAACGGAAGAGGGACCGACTTTCTTTTCAACATTTTTGGAACAGATGCATCAAAGACAACCCAGTGTTGTTACTTGGGTGATCTTGGATGTTACTGTCCTTTAAATGATGGTAAAATATGTGATATGGTGTGCAGAGAAAAGAGGAGTGAAGAGATTAATTAAGTGCAGAACTGAAATGTAAAAAAAAATTATACAGGTATACATGTTAAGTTCTTGAAGCATAACAAGGAACTAGTGAAATATTGAAGTAACATATAAAATTGCAAATCCTAAAGAAACAAGTTTACTAAAGTAACTGATGGATGTTTTTGTAGTTCAAATGAATGAAGGAAAAATATTAAAAATAATATACTGTAGTAACTATAAACAAAAAGATCACTGGATATTGGAGTAAAGTAGTCACTTAACTCATTCATTAATTGCTTCTTTGTATCATGAAAGTTCTGATATAAACGTTTCCAGTTCTGAAAAGTTTTGTCTCTTCCTTTTTTTACCTCTGCTCATCCAACCCTGCTGTATCAAAATTAAACCAGTACTGTACTTCAAAATTTTCTATTGGAATATACTAGGCAGTTTCGAAGTCCAACAACATCAAATTACAATATTTTATTTTAAGATCATGTACTGTACTCCTTATACCTAACTTGCTTCCTTGAACTTGCTAGCTGCTAGCACCTGTGTCATTACAGCTGTAGCAAAGTTGAATTCAGTTTGACTTGACATCTGTTGATACCTATGTCTAATCCTTCAACGAAACCTTTTCCCTCTTATTTGCTTAGGAACATTAAGCAATGCCATGCCTCCCTGTGTCTATAACATCTACTTAATTTCTATCTACATTCCCTCCCAACTTTCTAACAAATTATTTCCCATTCATATATTGTAACTGTCATTCATCTTAATGTTATCAAATAGAATGGCACTGTCAGTACCTTCTCCTTCCAAGATTTACATTTATCTAGCCTCTGAAACTTCTCCCAGTATTTTCTAAAAAAAAAAATAAATAAATAAATAAAAAATAAAATAAAATAAAATAATTATAATACAGTAATTACACTTCCATGAATAAACAGGACATAAAATATATCTGAAGACGCTTATTCTTAATGTTTAAAATTAATGACACTTACAAAACTGATATAAATATAAGAATAGAACAAATGTTTTGGAAAATACACATGAAATCATACAAAAGAATTATGAGAATGTGAAGTCAGCCAGGTAAAGCGATTCATTCCTGTATTGAAAGACTGAATTAAGAAGCATTTCATCCAGCAATGAATTAGTGAATGCAAGTACAGTACTCGTATGATTATCCATGAATCCTTCAACTGTAAACTGAGTTAACCATGATTTACTACTGTGATCATGACACTAAACTAACAATAATATGCTGAGGAGTTAACATTGATGGCTAACCTCTCACTAACCAGGGGAAGAGTTACAATATTTAGGAATAGATGACCTTAACACCTTGTGCTGAGGACAAACTACTGAATTATTAACATACTGTACAGCAAAAGGATAATAATGCATGAGGTGGTCGGTGAGGTCAGTTTGTGGTGGGGGCAGCAGCTGTCCTAACTCACCTGAGAGATAAATTGAGGTACAGTGTACTTTTGATTTAACAAAATCTAATACAGTATAACAAACTCTAAATTTAACAAAATCCAATATAAAAAACTCGATTTAGCGGAAGGAATTTTTTCCATTATTTTTCACTCGATTTAGTGAACTGGTTTGCTAAATAGAGATTAATTCCGTTCATATGCTCACACCTACGGAAACACCTCAGACACATGATATGTACTGTACATAGAAACATTATTCATGGCTTACCTTAAACTAATGGGTGTCTGTGTTTGTTTTCAATTTTTCTATAATTTCCCCCCAAAAATTCCAATCGATAGCTGCACTCTTTTGACTTTTTCCCCTGCACCACTTCCTTTCTGAGACTTCTGAGAGACTATCGGCACGTCTAAGCACAGTAGTTAGTTGACCAAGATAGAGACCGAGAGGTAGCAGTGAATAACGCACACAGTGGCGGCAGGACACAGACTGAGCAGATATAAACAAACTAGTTCACTAAATCGAGGAAAAATAACGGAAATTTAATTTACTGGAAATTTTGATTTAACGGAAAGGGGTGGCTGGAATTAGTTTGTTAAATCGAGAAAATACTGTATTTGTAAAATTAGGATACATCCGATCATGTACTGCCTCTCAATCCAAGATATTAAGTGAATACTGCCTGTACTATTATGGGGATAACTAAATACTGTATACAGCAACAATCCCCCATTATACTCCAAATATTTTTGAGGATTAGTATTATATGTCTTAAACTTTAACAAATCAAACTTTTTCAATGTTTACTATTGCAGGAAATGGGGGTTCACATTCCTGAAGATCAAAAATGGGTACCAATAAACAAATATAATATAGTATAGTATAGTATATGAATTTTCTAACAAAATAAATGCACTTCAGGTTTGAAAACACCTGTTAATAAACCTAGCTAATGTACTCTACAGCATATATGACATGATTATGGTTAACACAGTGGTGTGGTGTGCTCCAGAAGTTGATTGGTTGTGAGGCAGTGGTGTTGGCCTTGTGGGGATGAGGAGGTGGTCAACTTCTCAGTGTACCCAATACATTTCTTTTTCTTTTAAATTGCTTTGTCCTTTTATTACTTAAACAGTTTGTCAATAAATAGACCTTTAAACACTTAATTAAATCACATTTTTCTTCATTAAGTTTAATAGCAAACTAACAAATAATATGGCTGGCTTCTAGAGGGAAGTAGAGTTTGGCACACACCACAACACTCCCTGTCTAAAATGTTCTTATTTATACAACTGAATCATGAAAATTTTATGAGTTAAGGTTACGTACTACTTTATGTACTCAAGTTCTGAGCAGGTTTACTTAAAAAATAAATTTAAAACATAATTTCATATGAACCAACTATCATGATCACAAACAGACTGAGTTGGGAAGGAACATATGCTTCTTTTGCCTCACAGTATGGGTCACAGTACTGAGGGTCCAGCTGTATATTTCTGACCACAGCTTGAAAATTAATGTAGAAAAATGGCAATAAAGCTCCATTGATGCTGGATTTCAAAGTTAATAATCACACACACACACACATATATATATATATATATATATATATATATATATATATATATATATATATATATATATATATATATATATATATATATATATATATATATATATATATATATATATATATATATATAATTATAAATACATATTGTGAATGAGGTACAATGTAGATTCACTTGTTTCACTGGACAGGATTTCACTCCTCTGCTTATGATGCCTGTTCTTTTGTTCAAACCTTCCTTGATAGAGGATGGGTTATTTTGAAATTCAAATGTGCCATGAGAAGTTCCAATTGGTAAAATTTCACCTCGAATTCCATTTGACACACAACTAACATATCAACCTTTTTATCTTTCTTTTATTTTGTTTTTTACTTTTTTTACTGAAACCATAGTTGCAAGAGTTACTGCAAGAATCCAATCAGAATTCGAGGTGCTTCTAATTTATTGATCAATTGAAGTCTACTTGGACCAAGATAGGAACGGATGGCAAGACGACAACATTGGGTTAAAGGACGTGGATCTCTTTCGTGGGCAGCCAGAAGATTTACCAACGCTGAAGAACGCCATGCTAAGTCTCGTGCAGTCCGCCCCAAGCTGTAGGGATGAAACTATGGTAAGTTCATCTGTGATTATGCTCTATATACTGCATGTGTAAAAATCTTCTGTACAATACTGTATGTGCATGTACAGTTGTAAACAAAAGTATTGTTACCTCTTCTGCTGGGCTCTTGAATCTGAAATATTCAACGTATTCAATGTCTACTGCTTCAGGTTCACGAGTCTGAATCTTGGGGTTCGTGGAGTAGCAGAAAAGGTGACAAGACTTTAGTTCATGACTGTACATATGCATGCCTGTGTGTATGAGTTTATGCATGCCTGAGTGGATACATGTGTTATTGTGTTCAATTATCTATCACAGCAAATTTAAACTTAACAGTTGCTATATTCCATGATACTTCTGTGTGGAAATAAAAATAATTTAAAGTGCTATATTTTTCATTCCAATTACACAGGAAGATACTGAAGTATGTAAGTGAATTCACATTTATCACAGCTTACTTGTCCTTCAAGTAGACGTTAGCACCATAAGCTAACAATAACTGAGCAGCTTCTTCACTCTTGCTGTACATGCATATGATATGGAGTGGAGTTGTGTGATTTTTTATGGCATTGACACTGGCACCTAAAAGAATAAACATATTACATATGACTCCTGGATATTAAAGATATAATAAATACGTAGTAATTTATAGTGACGTCATTCATACTTTACACCATCAGTGTGTGCATCGCCCAACATTAATAAAAGAAACGTGGAACAAAACATTAAGGAGAGAATGAGAGCCCACAATCGAATAGTGGACCATAGATTCAAAATCTTCATGCTCAGGAGTACCTTTACTGAGATTTTGAACAAAATCTAATTTTGGGCTGAAACGGTAAGTCTAATACCTTAAGAATATTTTGTACCGAGGTGATGAATGGCATATATATATATATATATAAGAAATTCCAATGTAATACACAATGAACTAATTAAAGTAATAATTAATTACCATACAACAGTTTATGTTCCATGTCGAACACACACGCTACCTTTTTCACACCTTTACAATATTATTTCCCTTTACTAATTAAAGACACATAAAATATCAACATTAAATGTTATTACTAAATAAAATTGTGAATTATCAGCGACCTTCTTTCTCAACACCTTCTCACACTCCTTGTCCTCCACCTCAAGCTTCATTTGCTACAATAAAAGTAAGTGCAGTGTAAAAGTATACTGGTAACTTTAATATTTATTTGGAAGGGATTTTTCAGCAAAATGATGATTGAAAGAACATGGGGAGGGGGGGGGGGAAGGTTATGGATAAGTCGGACAGCATCGAGCCCCATAGGGTCCGACTATATTATATAACAGAAGTCAAATTAGATTTCGAAAATGGAGAAACACTGCATTTACCACCAGAGTATTATTCTGTACTGTACAGTAATTTCTTTATAAAAATCTGGCAGACCAGAATAAGGTCAAACAAAACACTATCAGTGGGGCATATATAATCAAATGGAGAATTACGTTTATAAAAATACATTTTATATTTCTCTTGCAACAATTTTCTCAAATGGTGCTGACAACTAGCATACTAAAAACAGCACAAACTGAAAGAAGCTGTCATGTAACATTACCAGATTTAAGGAGGTATCTGATGCAGGCTATGGAAGGAGACTGCATGGAACAAGTAGCATGTAGTGGCGTTCCATAATGAAGGTCATTCACATTCAGTTTTGCACCAGCAATAATGAGGACAGAAACAATGTCAGTGTGACCTGAAAAAAAATCAAATACTGCACATACAATATATTCAAATGAGCAATTCCTTTCACTTCAGGACATATCCTCAAAAAATATCAATAGTTAACCAAAGCCATTTGTTTTAACTCATAGAAAACCCCCAAAATATTGAAGACTAAATTTAAGCATTGTATGAATTCCATTTTGTTAATGATCTGTTATGTACACACTTCAAAAAATTAAAAGCAGTCTGCTATATACATTCTGAAGAACTCTATTCAACATATGCCAACACCTATGCCACTTACAGTACTGTACATGACAAAGTATCAAAAGGAAGTGCTAATTTGTTGTCTGGTTCATCTTTCTTTATAGATTCTTTCATGTTCAACTTTAAGAAAAAGTTTAATTAATCACTTTTGTTCAGAACAAGTGAAGTCATGTAATAACATATGGTACTGTACAGTATACCTCTTAGAGCTGCTTCATGTAGGGGTGTTGACAGGAGAAGAGGTGGATTGACAATAGCACCGCGCCTCAGTAGCATATTGACACACTCTACACTACCACTAGCACATGCATCACACAGCGGAGTGCTGTTATCAATACTCTGAGCATTAATCTGAAGAAAAAAAAATTATGTTAGATAATACAATACCATACTTTAAAAGCTATATCTTACTGCTAAATGGTAGCAACAAATGGAATATAGTAAACTGTACTTAATCAAACAAAACAGTACACAAATAAATTAATATTAAATATCTGTACATATAAAGCTGTTTCATTCTTGTGTCAATAATCTATTAGTACAGTGTACTCTGTACAGATATACTGTATTCAGGAAATGAGTTGCTTAAAAAAGATGCTGATCTTTTATTTTTCACTCAATCACAATACTGTAGTCTGATACATTTTGTTCAGTCAAACAATGACAAAAATAAGATTCTACTATAAACTGGCGATGATTAAAAGAAAACTTCCCTTTAAAATAAATTACCAGTTTACTTGTACCATATCATTACTCTACCCCTGACAGAGTAAACAGTTTGTTGCATGGCGGAATGATCTTAAAATCCCATTCTATATTCCATACCACTCTAGGTGGTTCACATTATGCACCAGATTAGTTTATTGGGTTAGAACTAAAAGTTTACCAAGAAATAGCAGCTGGGACTCAAGTGATTAGTTTTTCTTTCTCAGTGAAGCCAGAACCCTTCAAAAACTCACAGAAGCAGGAGGTTACCATTAGTAAAAAGCAATTACAAACACGGTATAAATTATAAAAAAAAAAAAAAAAGCAAATGAATGTGCAGTGTATTTCTCATTGTCAAACTGAAGCTTATACATAATGGACTTTTAATTTGCAAACAAACAAATATTAAGAAGAGAAAACATACTAGAAAGCATCAAGAAAATTAAGAAAGTTTCACTGTACTGTATCATGACTGTGAACAGGTATGAAAAAGCACTTTAGTGTGTGCTGGTGTTACAAGCAGTGTTAGTGTCTGTTAATATTAATCCAGATAAATATCAGGGTTTCCAATCTTTAAAGTTAAATAAAACTTATTTTATTGTAATTTAGCATTCAAATTTAGTTGAATCCATGACATGAATTTGTAGTACTATACAGGATAATAACTTCTGGGTTATACATGAGGACATGCCTTAAAACAACACACCTGTAACATAATATTGCTGATTAGGAATAAATAAAGGTTAATAAGTACTGTACAGGGAAGGCACTACTACCAATAGCTTTATATACAATACTATTCATAGACCTAACTTATCCACCATTTACAGTAATTTAAATCAATTTCTAAAACCTGCTGACTGATATATAAAAAAGCAGACTCAAGATGTCACAACAGAGTGGTTGAAAATATGCTGAAGGAATAATGGTATTAATGTGTTCTTTAAAGCTGTTGTCAATTATTTTCTTTTACCGACTTTCAAAAACCTGGTAGAGTAGTCTACTTATGTGTGCCTGTGGATTTTCAGTTCTCCTAATGAATATTCTTCATTTGTAAATAATTATCACTTCATTCTGAAAGCTAAAATTTTTCTAAATTGTACTGTATCATTTTTCTGTATTGTTCAAACTTGTTCCATCATCCTAGATCTTTTCAATACTTGTACCTAAGTTTGATTTACAGTATACAGCTCTACTTTTCCTATCACATTTACATTTTTCACAGAAGTTTAATTCATATTACAGTACTGTACCTTCATTGTTAACCTAATCAACATATTCCAGTTTTACCAATGGCAGTTTTTTTTATTTCATAATTTCCCTTTGACCATGTTTATGAACTTCATCACCTGTTTCTTTTTCTTGCATTATTTCTCTCTTGTTTGACTTCTTCTCAACAACAATTATTAGCATCCGATCAGTGTGCATACCTTTATTACATCTGTAACTCTTTTCTTTACTATACAGGACAGTACAGAGTTTTCCACAAAAAATTTTAATAAAAATAATGCTGAACGGTACTTTATAATATCTTCAGTGATATCCAATGACTCCCTTTCCGACTCACCACATTCATTTGGTTAGTAAATTTCTTATGATATTCTTTTGTTAAACATAAATATCAAAAACTTTTGACATCAACTCGGTTTTAATATTACAATACATTACCTACAGCAACAGTTCTGGATACAATATAAGATAATTTACATGAATTCAAGTACATAAACATTTAAAATATTGGTACAGTAATGTAAAGGCACCCTGTCCTGTACTGTGTACAATTTTTTTAAACTTTACCAACAACAGGGTAACAGATATATGATCTATATTGTTATAATATATAGTACAGGGTATATACAAAACACTTACAGTTACTGTTGTGTGAAAGGAATTTTAGATACTAATGCAGGATTGATTTGGATGAACCACAAACATTCACACAATACCTCTGATGATTTCAGGATGAAGTGGTTAATGCACTTACTGCAAGCTGAAGAAAACAAAACATTATAAAATGCATTACAGTACATGCCTGTGATCATAACATCATCTTTATTCTTGGCCGAGATCATGTACTCAGTATAAGTGAGAACATCTGACCCATTGATCAAGCTCTGCCCATTTTGGGGTTTCTTAGCAACCATCATAGGTCGCACACGTTACCTGGCAGCTGGTCACTAAGGGAGTTATATCACCACAATGATGGAACATGAAGCATATCATGGTTCAAAACGTCCCAAAGTGGTTAATATGGTAAATGATATTCTGTACTGTACTGTATTTCAATCATGATAAATGGACAGCAGAGATGCCCTGGAAACTCAGGGTCAGTCCTCTCCAAACCCACCAACTGTTCAAGAATTTCCCAGAGAGTGTCGGAAGGCTCAAGTATTGTGATACATTTTTTCCAAAACTGGGAAGATAATTTTGTCGTTCGCTGTCCATTGTATTAAAAAAAAAAGTTGAATAGTACACCATTGTGGTAGTGTACAATAATTCATTTAGTGACCAGCATGCAATCAACTTCAGTGACAGATGTTGAAAATACCATATGTGGGTTGGGCTTAGTTCATTGTTCAATTATTTAAGACTTTAATCTGAATAAATTGTGCACCAAATGTATCTGGACAAAAAATACAACATAGTCTAGTCACTATGTCCAACAGTACAGTTTATTGTATGTTGACATACTTCACAGAACTGTATCCACCTGAACTAATGCAGTTGACTTCCTTTACAAAATAATGTCATCTGTGTGGCACAAGACGGCTAAGGATATATCCATCACCAGTGAATTTATCTACATTTTAATAACTTGTATACTCTTATACCATATCTTGTTTTTGGTTTTCACTTAAAAAAATTCCTCTGACAAAGTATTGCATATATACTAATTATCAAAAAAAGTACTTCTATGTATTCTCATTTTGTATCTACCACACTGTTTATATCAGTGAACTGCCAAATATTTATATAGAGTTAATTCTATTTAAACAGTTTGTATGGAAATATATTCATACCTGTAATACTGATTACCCAAAACTCAGCAAATGTATTTATCTAAGGCATATTTGATAATAGTTGTTTGGACACGACTAAAAGATGGGTAACACAGGCTCCTTTAGTAGAATGGGATTTTACATAAGAAACGAATAAGTGTTTCTTATAAAAGGTATTGCTAGCTGGCTCAACATCCAAGAAGTGAGGATGATTCTATTAACCATCTACTACAATATTGTTTTGTACAAGGTGACATTATATTGGTTGCCTATCTAGCAGCAGCTCTGTAATGCACTTTAACTTAATTGATTTAACTACTGAGATCATAAACTGAGTTCAACTGAACTACATAATGAGCTTTACTCACCCATGCTCCCTTCTGCAGGAGGAAATCTGTAATCTCGACATCCCCTGTAAGACAGGCCATGTGAAGTGGTGTGACACGATCAAAATGTTGCTCATTTATGTCATGTCCTTCAGCTACTAAGTTCTGAACCTCCTTGAAATTTCGTGATGCAACTGCATTGTGTAAGGGAAACATCTGGATCCCTGCAAATATATGGAGTCACTGATGATAAAACATTTATTTAACGATGAACTCTCAAGACGGTTAAAGACACTATACTGTACATATTACAACTACGTATATACAGTACTGTAGTGTATTACATACAAAATGAGTAATATATTATCAGTAAGGCTTTATATTCTTGTAAAGGTTACAAATCCATAAAACATTCACCAACAGCACTATGTAAGACCATAACATTCTTCAAAAAGGTAAATGTCACATTTTCAATACTGTACTGTAAAGTAATAAGAACAGAGAATTAATAAAAAAATAAAAATAATTGATGATACATATCATTCTCTTCAGAGTTTACTAATACAACTAGTATTCTTCATGAAGAACATTATACATTACTGTACTGTATAAGACAAAGGTTCATCACAATAAAACAAATGATCATGAAAACGATTACTCCGTATACCTGTACGTGCTGAAAAATTTATTTGACATTCAACTTACAAACTATCAGGGATATAAACAAACTTGTCCATGTACTGTATTGCTGATAAAATTCGTACTATATTATACTACAATATAAGCTGTAATATCTCGGTCAGCTGGAATCCCCATTAGCCGGAACTCTCCAATACCTGAATTAAAATTGGCTCTTGACTTTTTCTGGGAAACTTTCTCCATTCTTGGTCTGTGAACGAGTTTTCGAGGAGGCAATAATGAGTAATTCTGGAAAATTCTGATAAATTTTCCCAATACCCCGAAGAATTCCAAGGATGTGCGATTTTTCCGGGTTTGAAAGAGCTGTTTCATTACCCAGAAATCTCTCGTCTCCGGAAGAGCTCTGCACCAATTATTACGGCTAATGGGGATATCACTGTACTGCTAAAGGCTGAAGAGTAATATGCTTTATGTATTTATTATCAGGATACAGCTGTACAGTACTGTACTGTATATCCTTACTTTTTTAATTTTTACAAAATGTTCGGTATTTTCATGAGTAAAGCCGGACTTATTGACTTTAGGACAAGTCTCGGAAACGTAAGTCGTTAATAAGTAGGAGAGCCCCTGTACTACTGATAATTATGTTGTTTGTAAAGAAACATTGCCTGGTTCCTGATATTCTTTACTTCTTAACAAGGACTTTATTGCAGCACTGGATCATCTATCATGATCTTACTGGGTTTCATAATAGCTTATCCTTTTTGCCATTTATCAAATTACAGTTCAGAAAACACTGAACTGCAGCATATTGTAAAGGTTACTTATGCAAGATAATCTTCTAATCTATATAGAGTACTGTACACAAATTTCTGCATTGTACAGTAATATTTAAAACCGTACAGCCTATATGTACTGTAGTATGTATATACAGTACAGCACACTGTACTGTATACATAATTTTATTTTAAAGAACTCGCAGTACATACCAGTATTTTCTGTAGTTACAGACAAACTGTTTAGAAACAAACTGAAATACATCCTCAGATCTTGGCAAGTAACCAAGTATGTACAGTACTATTCAATACTTTATTACTGTACTTGTACGTACTTTATGCTATGCCAATTGCGATAAAAACAAACACAGCAATGCAAACTATTATAGTGAGGTGCATCCTGACTATAATGGGTATGTGCCTTATTATAAAAAAACAAACAAAAAAACGAGAAGCATCTAATGTGAGCTTCAGCAAATGAGAGAGTACAGTACAGTACAGTACAGTATATAATTTCCCTTTGAAAGTTTCCCCGAGGAACAAATCACCTAAGCACTGCAAGTACCAAAACTTAGAGTTCCTGGAACATTGGCAAACATGCAGTACAATGCAGAAAACACTTCAATGTGAATTTCTGTCATGAACAATGAAGGGAGATATAAATAAATTTTAAGGCATACATAGCAAAGAATAGTTCTTCTGTTTACAGAACAGAGAAACAAATTTTAAATGTTCATTACAGTTTTGACCATTTGGCCACTGGTTTATAAAACTGCATGTGTGTTTTTTAATCCATCTAAAAGTTTGGCAAAGAATCAATTTCATTGTTGTTTATCCAAGAACCTCCCCTCCATTCTCCTTTCAAAGATAATTTTCATTACTGTATGTCTTATCATAAGACAGATTGGGCAAAGCAAAACTTGGTGTTTTTTCATGTCTGAAAGAGACAGTTTGAATAATGTATAAAAATACTTTTAACATATTGTACATTCACTCCTGTAATGGAGAATATAAAGTGACAAAATCTGGCCAGAAACTATATCAGTGCAGACTTCATTTTTTTTTTCAGCAAATCAGTCAATATTGGCATTCATAAAGCTGAATGATGCAAACTCATAAGAAGATTTACCAAACAAGGAACTTTGTGGGGTCTTCCGTGTGTGGAAATCACAACCTTCTCATTAAATTTTTGAGTCGGAACTAGATGGAAAACTGTACTAGTATGTAGGGAAGAGGTATGGGGACCCTTCATCACCAGAGGTACAAGGGAAACAAACGTAATGATTACAAATTTATGAGGCCAGAAAATTTCCATACTTTTACTAAATGGAAACTAACAGTGTGTGTACTGCTTGTACACAAACACTGTAAACTCTAAAATATATGTTCAAACAAATTAGAAAATAGAAGCCTCAGCTTCAAAAATAACCGTAATTAACAATGAGAAGGCTGTATTGTGTGTCATAATCATGCTACAAGTGAAGAACCTTTATCAAGGATTTCAAAGTAATCAAAAGACAAAATGTAGCAAGCTCAGCTTTTTTGTTGAATATTACCTTCACTTTCCATGGCAATCAAAGTTTTCACTGCACTCAGTTGATCAGCACACAGCACTACTGAGAAGTGATGTTGCAGTTTAAAGGTCTATATGTTGGTTTAAATATACCACAATTGAAATGGTTACCTGACACTTGTTCATTTAGAACTTCCAGTGGCTGTCAAAGAGCCTTCACCGACAGTTACCAGGGCTGATGAAAATAGAAAAATACCAATGTATACCGCACTTTATAACACTGAAATGAAAGTTTAAATATAAAATGTCAGTTTTGAGCTTGATGCTGTTCAGATGAAATGTTACAAAAATCTAAATCTAAAAGACTTAGTAATAAATTAATTTCCAATAATTAGAGATGAGAATATTAAACAAAATATATCAAAACCCAGCAACAAAAATGATGAAAATAATAAACAGTATCACATAAAGACACAATATCTGTTCTTCAATGTTGGTATGAAACAGTTTTTTGGTATGAGTGTGTGTTTGTGTGGAAAGATGTTTATTGTAAGTCTTTGAGCCTCAATATCTCACTGTTTTGACAACTTTGAACTTAAACAGGTACATTACAATAATTCAGGTGTGTTGGGGGAACTGCATCTCCTAATACAACGGAACTACTGTACTCGTTTAAATTTCAGGGGTTATAATTATCATGACAGTGATATCTATGCCCACAAAAACACTTGAAATGACATCTTTATGCAATTCCACAAACACTTTCCCGTAAACAATATTCTGCTATCTTTGAAACCCTGATGTGACCAAATTATTCTGCTTTTCTCAACATGAACACACTCCAACGAACTGTAAATTGACCACAGGGAATCCTCTGGTGTGTTAGTTGTCTCTAAGTTATTTTCTTTTCGTAATGCAGTAAGTCACAGTTAGTACATACATAAATTTAGAAGAAAAATAAATAAACAGAATTAGAAGACAATATTGTCGTGAAATTTTAAAATGAAATGTACGTTAATAAGTAACAAATAAAATAACAATTCCGAAGTAAATAACTTCATATCTGTTTGTGTAACTATGGATAAAATAACAAATGTGGAATACAGAATCTCACATCTACTTGTATAAAGCGAATCAAGAACTGGACCAGCTGCCATACTGCATTCACGTGGACACTGAGGGTGAGACGTAAAACACTCGAGAGCTACAGTATTAGTGTCCTCCCCTCCACCAGCCAGCTGTGATCTGAACCAGGCTAGTTTTAGACAGTCCACGAATTACTAGTGTCTTAAAACACCCTACGAGTGACACACATTGGATGTTCTACTACAGAGATAAACGGTCATGAAGGCCAATGGATCACAGTCCCTGTTGTGTTGACGCAATACCAGCTGATGTTTGTTTACAGGTGTAGTGAGGTGCGTGGCCAACAGATGGCGCCCACCGACCATAACAGACGACAGCCATATTAGTGATAAAGAAAGACTCATCCTGTACTTTTCCTTCGTCTTGGTGCGGTTACTGTCCCATTTGGGATATGGGACAATCTAGCAGTGCCTTCTGTCAGTCAGGTAAGTGTGAGTAATAAGATTCGTGATCAATATGTCTAAATTAATGCAGATGAGTTCACCTGCCAAATGACTTGCAACTGGTTGACGTGTGGCCAACTTTTGGTTGTTTGATGTTCATTAGATTACACCTGCAAATCCACGATCTACCTACTTAACGTAACAGTTTTGGACACGAATATGAAATTAGTAATAATGCTATGGAAGGTTCATCTTTGGTGACTTGATTCAACAGTGGGCCGGATATCGAATAAAAAATATCAACAATGGTCAAGCAGTCTTTCCTCTTATGCTAATGAAATTCGATAAATGGCGTGAATGAAATTGTGACAATTTGTGAGATGTAACAGTCAATAAAGTCGTTTTATTTGATTAAAAGGTTATGTAATGAACGAATGATTAGTGTACTATAATATTGTCTTACTCGTATTTATAATTATACTGACATTGTAAAGGTCATGTTATGCTTATAATGGCAGTGTGAGGTTTGCCAGGTGTTGTTATTCATTTTGTTTTCGTTATCTGTTAGTCACATGATAAGATTATACAGGTATAATACGTAACTCACAGTCTTGTTTTTATTGTCTTAGGCTTTTTGGTACACTGTATTGTAAACTGTAATTATACAGTTTACAGTATTACCCTGGAGCTGGTATACTCTACAACAGAAACACGAGAATGGTGGCGACCATTCTCACAAAAATATTATAGCACTGCTAAGTAATTAGCACACTATTGTAAGTGCAACTATAGTCTGCGGTCTACAAGATATTTAGGTTAAGTCACGTTAGGTTAGCTCAGCTTAGGTTAGGTCACGTTAGGTTAGATCAGGTTAGGTTAGTTTAGGTCTGGTTAGGTTAGGTTAAACTAAAGATATCTGTGAACCGCACGCTATAGGATCACCCTATTGTATTAGAACTGGCAGGGATAGCCCATCATCACATATCAGCAGTGGGTACAGCTGAACCACTTAACACCCATAACAAACACAGGCAATCTTAGTACTCCTTACTCTGCCTTTAAGTACAAAACCTGATATTGTTACCACCACTATAATCCGTCCATACTGACACATACAGGTTTGGCTGGCAACAATACAGTCTGACTTGGCTCCATCACTCTGAAGTTATTACTGCCTTGAGGGTCACGCACCCTGGTGTACCCTGGTACTCGCTCTGCTAACACAGGAGCTTCAACACAGCTTCCAGATGGAGTTAGACATCGTGTCTCTCTTTTGACTATCTCACTTCTACACACAAAATAGGATCTACAAAGATATCTTTAGTCTAGCCTAACCTAATTGCGTATTTCAATGTTTTATATTACATATCACGAAAAATATATCAGTAAATGCCAGTGTTGGATAATGTGTTTAATGTATTATCACAGTACAGGTAGTTCTGCTATAACGCGATAATTGTGTTCTTGTAAAATATCGTGTTATAGAAAATCGCGTAATAGAAATAACAGGGCTTATGGAGAAAATAGGGTTAGGTGCAGATTACTCGAAATCGAAAAAATTTAGTAGTTAGCCTAACACAAAGGATAGCACAGTCTAAATAAATGTTACATTCATATCTAATAATGAAATCATACAGTAAATGTAACACTTTACTTGATGGGGGAGAAGGGTGATTTTGAGGTTGATAAAATCGAGCTTCTCTTCAAGTGTTATATCCTTTCTTTTACGATCATCACCGGGAATTCTATCACCAGAACGCTTCTTGTTGATATTCTTCTTTACTATATTCACATTATTTAATTTTTTTTTTTTCTAATTTATTGTTTTTTATTACAAATATTAATGATATTCTTTATTTCAGGGGTTTAAATGCATATTTATGCACTTTTTTACAATTTTTACAATTTTATATTATATTTTTCAATGTTAAGTGGTTGTATTTGGGGACCTGGAACGGATTAATCCTATAACGAATGAATGCTATAACGAACAAGGTTCTAGAAGCAATTAGATTCGTTATAGCATACCCCACTGTACCACAAAATTGGAGAAATAGTAAGCAAAAATCGCGTTAGAGCAAATTCGCGTTATCAAAACACGCGTTATAGCAGAACTCACTGTATCTTATCATGTTTATACTGTATGTATGTGTACCGACTTTTTATCGAAACTGCACATCACATGAATATCATTCAGCTCCATTGACTGCATAATCTACAACTAAAAAAATTCACGTCAAAACAGCACAGTGGCTTGATTGATGTGCTGCTGCAGACAGAGGCACTCCGTCGGCACAATGGTATAAATTTTGCTCTAATGACGAAATAGGTCGACTGGTGATGATTTTTCTGGGTTTGTTTTATAAAGTGCTAGAGGTAAAGATACCGGCCATTTGTTTCATGTAATAAGCATATAAATATATGAGCTTGTAGTAGGTGTCGTTTGTTACATATATTAAATATGTAAATAAAACTGCTGAAGATAAAGGCAGCGGCCATTTATCTCCTCTAAATAATGGGTGGGTAGTATACGAGCCTATCTCAGTTGTTTGAGACCGAACATAAATCCCGGAAACGAATCTCTCTTAATTACCAACTTGAAAGCTGAGGCTCATGAGAATTAAGGGAACTGATACGCTCAAACCCAGGTTATTGGAGAATGCTAATGAGGAGTGTGACTTAAGGATATGTGAACCATTTATGAGATTAATGCTGTTTTCAATATTATATTCTGCTCAAATGACTTTTAATATTCTTCAGATAAACTATATTAATAGTTATACGAATATTTTCTCCATTATTAAAGTGAACTTGCGTATTTTAAATTGCCGTATTTATTCGAGGTCCGTTTTCTATGATGAGGTGCAGGGTATACAAGGATAGTTCTTTGCCATTATTCTTAAGAATGAATAGTGGTTTTAGTTGAAAGGGTATATCGATGATTCAGATATATTCGGCTGTTTTCTTTTTGGTTAGGAGACGTAGGAGATAACATGTTTGAACATGTATTTAGTACATGGCTGAATGAGCCCTAATGTGTTCAAGACAGTAATGAGACGTGTGTGTGTGTGTGTGTGTTGTATTGGATGTAATCCTAGACAAGGTTCTTGAAACTCCAGAGCACGAGCAGTAGGTATTTTCAATAAGTGTACAAGACTTGGCGTGATAGCCGACCGATACAGGAGCGGGCACAAGGGACCCCGGGCCGTAGGTAGGCCGAGGCTGATCTGAGGGATGTTGTCTAGCTGGGCAAGGAGAGTTGCTAGACATCACTAGGACAATAACTGAGGTCCTCTAGTTACTCGACTAGCGCGGTACAGACATAGTATATCGGGGCCTAGTGAGTGAACATAGGCATTTGACATAAGCATAGATATCAGACATGGTATAATGATATGTAGTAATACAGACATGTGAATAAATGGTACAATGAATGGTAACAGAGTCTTGGCGTCAGGCGTGTTCACATATCTATACACCTCCCTCCCCCTTTACGCTCGTAGTGCAATCTCGAGCGGTCTACGGACTCTTTTTCCATGAGTCGGGGGGAGCGGCGAGGGGCAATGGGAGGATCAACTGACGACCTTCGTTCCATGTCTGGGCAAGGGGACACAGGGGACGGGGAGGAGGGTTCTTCACTAGAGGATGGCACTGGGCGGAGATGGCGTCTGTTTCGCCACCACACACGACCACTGGGGAGGCGGACTTGGTACGAACGAGACTCGCCACGGCCCATGACGACCCCGACCTTGTCCCAGCGGTGTGACGTCGGGTCCTGGATTCGTACTTGCTGGCCGACGGTCAACCTGGGAAGGGGGCGGGCGTGGGCGTCATAGTGGCTTGTCACTTGGGCCATCCGGGCAGCCTCACGGCGGTCACACTCGTCCGCCTTGATCTGCCATTCATCTAAGAAGGACTGGGGGTGGGCAGGCACACAAGTACGAAGGGGGCGGCCATACAACACCTGGGCAGGAGAGCGTCCGGCAGGGGTAGGGGTGTTACGGAGTTCTAGTAGGCCCCTGTCGAACTCCTCGCAGTCCAGGTTCCCCGTTGGTGCTGTCTTGAGGATGAGGTATTTTACGGACTTTACCGCTGCCTCGGCGTGGCCATTCGCCTGCGGGTAATGAGGGGAGGTGACGATGTGGTGGACGCCCCAGCGTTCGGCGAAGCTCTTGAACTCGTGGCTATTGAACGGGGGCCCACCGTCGGTTCGGAGGCGGAGAGGCACTCCGACTTCCCGGAAGAAGCGACAGAACATCCGGATGACCCTGGAAGAGGTGGTGTCCCGACCGCAGGGAACTACCACGGGCCATCCAGAGAGCCTGTCGGCGACCACCAGGAAAGACTTTCCGGCCACATTAAAGAAGTCGGCGGACACGGACTCAAAGGGCCGCTTTGGGAGGTCATTGCACAGGTACGGCTCTTGTTGCTGGCTGGGCTGGAGTTGCTGGCAAGGCTCACAGGCCTCAACCGTGCTCTTAATATCGGCGTCAATACCAGGCCAGAAGACGGTCTGACGGGCTCTGCGCCTGGTGGCTTCAACGCCGCGGTGGCTGTCATGGAGGCGGGATAAGGTGCGCCGGCGGAGGGCAGCGGGAACGACGATCCTGGGGCCGTACAACACCAGCTCTCCGTCCGCATAGAGGCTATCCCTTAGCTTCCAGAAGGGGAGGGTGGAGGCGTGAATGTCGTAGCGGTTGGTGGGGAATCCAGCGGAGACGTAGTCGAGGAGTTGGACGTATGCCGGGTCTTGAGCGGCGGCGATGCGAAGCTCCTGGAGAGTCCTATCGTCTTCGATGGAGGGCGTCGTCGTCGTCTTGTCAGCAAGAGAAGTGGCTGTGTGTGTCACTAAAGACCGAA